TTTATTCCTCTGAAATTTCAATCGATGTGCTGTTTATTCATATTAAGGTGCTTCTTTGGAGAATGATTACAGACTGTGAGGCTGTCAGACTGACTATATTTGAAATGTCATCGGTATGAAGGCACAAGCAGATATTTTGAGGAAATGTCTCTTGATTAGTTTATGACCATATGTTAGAAAGCAGCTCTTTCTTGTCAGGAGCCTGGATAGCTCAGTCGGTAGAGCATCAGACTTTTAATCTGAGGGTCCAGGGTTCAAGTCCCTGTTCGGGCGATGTTGCTTTTAATCTATTATAACACTGTCAAAGGGCCCGTTGTACCAATGGATTTACTGAGTTTATCTGAAGATGGTTGAACAGAAAAGATATCAAACAGCTAACTAAGCAAACACTTAACTCCTGCGTCATATGTAGCTAAAAACAAAAGTTGGAAACGTTCACCTGAAGAAGTTAAGGGATCAGTAGTTCATATCAAAACGTGTTACCAAGGTGACTGCTAGGTGTTGAGACTTGCCCCTAAAAGGACGTCAATCAAAGCTGAACATATTTGGTTAAACTGTTTAGATCAGAAAGCATCTGAAAAGCTGTTAAAGTCTTTCTAAACTGTACATGAAGCAGTAACTGTGGATGAGGAAGGGCTGGCGTAAACGAGTGTGTGCTGTCTCTCCAGGCCCATCCTAAGAATACGTACCTGTCCCGTGAGGACCTGAGCGTGCTCCGCCCAGTCCTCTGCAGCCCCGAGCATGTCGCACGGCGGGAGGTTGTTCTTCGTGACTCGCTCCCACCGGGTACCTACATCATCATCCCCTCCACCGCCGAGCCTAATCAGCAGGGAGCCTTCCTCCTGCGGGTGCTGACGGAGCAGGGCAACAATGCCACGTGAGTCACGGAGTTCTGTTGCCGTCTTGTTGTTGTGGAAAACCGGATGTGGAGAGCGAGGGGCGGACCAGACTGTGAAAGCATTCATGAACGACCTGTGATCGACAAGTCGTTAGTAAACGAGCACACCCTGAATAATGCTCTTTTCTGAAACACAGAATGAATTTACAAATTTAACTTCATTTTATGTGAAATTTCTTTAAATGTATTTTTACTGTGGTCACACAGGAAGGGAGCTGGGACGTGTTTTCCCATCGTTAGTCCTTTTGAATAAAAGTCACCGGAATAAAAAGCAGGTTTAAGACGTTTCAGACGTGGAAGCTGACTTCTCTATGTTTTTTTGATTGTTTCGGTTTTTGTTACAGACCAGCTCGAAAACCAACAACAGAGGACATCACACCAGTAACAGAGGTAAACCAATCAGCAGTTAATTTAATAGACTCAAACCAGTGAGAGCTGCAGATGTGAACTCTGATGGGAGTGTGTCTGTAGAGCCTTTAATATTTTGGAAGCTAAATTTAAGGTTTCTCTTTAGAAAAACTTTTATCCAGATTATTAGATTAAAGATTATGAAACAGAGGAGCACAGTACTTGGAATAAGCAAAAAAAGAAAGAAAGAAAAGAAAATATTTGTGTTAAATGTCTGAAAATTTTTTGAATAAATCCATCTAGAAGTAACTTAGCAGCTGTCTGGTCGTGCACTTTGAAGCCTACCCAAATGTGGAGAGTGCAGAAACTTTTTTCAGTGCTCATTAGGACAACAAATGTTTCTATAGTGTATTACATAGGTCCTCTGTCAGTTAGGTTTTAACTTTTAACTGAAAATGACATGTTAAGTGCAGAAGCCTTGCACATTTGTCTTAAAGCTAGTCTGCCTGAACAGGGACTTGAACCCTGGACCCTCAGATTAAAAGTCTGATGCTCTACCGACTGAGCTATCCAGGCCCCTGAACTCAGAACTGTGTCTATATTCACAAGTGGTGAATACGCTGAAGTCTAACAAGTGTCAGTACTGATAAATGATCAGAATTATAATATTTCTGACTGTCTGAGTCAAAATTGAATCGAATCGGGACCTTGTGAATCGGAATCGAATTGATTCTAGAAATCATTGACGATACCCAGCCCGAGTCTGACCCGTTCCCACTGAGTGTCGAGCCAGATGACATTAGGCTTCCACTTTGAACCACATCATATGCTTTTTGCAGACAAAGTGGTTCTGTTGGCTTGCTCAGGTAGCGGCCTTCAGCTGGCACTGGAACAGCTGAGCTCGAAGCGGTAGGAATGAGAATAAGCGCCTCAAAATCGGAGGCCTCAGATTTCAGCTGGAAAAGGGAAAGCGGAGGAAATGAAGTATCTCAGAATCTTGTTTACGAGAGAGGGGAGCAAGAGATTGACAGACGGACCGGGGTAACGTCAGCAGTGATGCGGAGGCTGCACCGGTCCATCGTGGTGAAGAGAGCGCTGAGCATGAAGTGTGGAGCTTTTAATG